ACAGTCTGTTCTGCTGCGGATGCTTTGGCGTATCACTGAGGATGGGTTTAGTGAGCCGCCAGACCGTTCTCCTCCAGTTGTCGAAGAGAGTAAGCGACATCAACAGGTGGAAAATGATAAAAGAGAAAAAAACGAATTGGCACCGCACCAAACGCAGCCGCGCTGACACGCCCCGTTTTCCGCAGCGGACAGGACTGGACAATAATGCTGCATGCTTTATCAAAGCCATTATCAGAACGTACGGGCCAGCACTCTGGTGGAGACTTTCAACAATTTTGGATCAGAGGCCGCAATAGATAGAATATAATCGGACCACACATTCGTTTGAAGAACTTGCCTTGCTACGTGTGATTATCAAGATTCTTTCAACTAAAATCCGAAACAAACCTCGATTTCCACGGGCTGCTGTAAGGGGTGGAAGATGAAGTCGTATATCATGATCAGCTGACGCAAGACGGAAACCATCGTCGTCGACCTTAACAGTAAAACGTTACCTGAGAGAATGTGCGATGGCGCGACTTCATCCTCCTAACGTTGTACAGTTACTACAACCCCAAAACCTTACAGATAACAGCGGTTCAGTTTTTTCAGGAAAAGTCTTACTTCAATCGAATATTCTTTCTAAACTTTAATTTTGGAAAAGATTTCAAAGGATTTAGAAGGTAGAAAAATAGATGTTATGGTATCTCAGGGAAGAAAGCGGATGCAGAAGCCATTTCCCCAGCATAGACTCCTCTTAGTTACTGTGTGTTCTCTTCTCTGAGCTGTTAGGGTAGGGATTTAGGGTTCATTCCAAATGGGCAGGGAAAAAAGCGAGGAAGAGTATCAGGTAAAATAGAGAAGGAAACAAACCTAATACTACCCTGTCGTGACCTGATATAAAATTGAGATTCAAACCTCATGATCAGGTCTCCTGCCATTCTCCTTGTTCTCTAATCCTGAACCACCGTTGCTTAATGCATGGTCAACACGATCTGAGTCTGTGGCTACCGTTTCCAGCACCGAGTCAATAACGGGGTCCGTCTGAAAAATGTTCAAGCACGTTTTCTTCATGAGCATACTGTTCCAAATCCAGTAGTAGCCAAATACAACTGCAAACAACTAGATACCATTTTCTTCATAAAATTAAAACCGGGAGCACTGAGTTAAAGAAGTAAAGGATTTCAAAAATTAGAGCACAACTATTTACCTCCTCGTACTTCACCGGGCGATTGTCACCGTCGCTTTCAACAAGACTCGAGCGGGTCTGCATTGTCTTCATCTGAACATGAGTAATCATCCTGCGAACATTTGCAAAGTGAGTTATTCGGAATAACTTAATGAGTAAGATTGTATAAAATGCTTTCCTATCCGATTCCGAGAGGAAGGTGGGACAGGGATGAACCACAAGGTGGCGGGACTAAGCTTACGAATTTGCACTGTCCCACTGGGGATGTTCCTATGTCCTCACGCTAAGCATGACGCCCAGGAAAGCTATATTTGCCCCTCCCCCGCATCCTCCTCCATAGATACCACCACACGAAATCCTTGGACTAAGGGAGTAGAGACTCCTCCGATCGATTGCCAAAAATGGGAAAATTGCCGCCTCGGGAGAACGGGCTAGTGACGGGCCAAACCCAACCTCAGTGACACGCCCCATCATCCATAGTGAACAAACGTGTACCTTAGCACCCTATATGACGCCCTACAAAACGCAAAAAATACTAGCCCGCACATGCAAGAACCAAAGATAGAAACGTAAAACTTCGGGAAAAAAAACTAGAAGTTGCTGGGTTTCTAGCAGCCCACTACCTTCTCCTGCGCCAGCTCCGCCGCGTCTTTCACACCTTCTGTGACGGACTCCGACACTGTGGTTGCAAGATCAACTAAGCCTTCATAAGCAGAACCAACCGCCTAAAATCGAATAATCAATACATAGTACCGGAAGAAAATAATGCTCTTAATTGAAAGAAAAGGAACTTTCTGAAAGCAGCAGCTGCTCCCCTAGCCCCTTTCACATATGTTATTCTTTTCAACGTTTTTGAAACATATCACATACATTACGTGGATCACATAGATAAGAACTAATGAAAAACGCAAAAAAAAGACCAGAAAGAAATATTCCTCGTTCGTCGAGAGTGCGTCCTGTACAATGGGGCGCCTTATACCCCGCAAAACAGGATATACACTGAATTAGAAAAGAGCGGAAACATAGAAACACAGAAAGAAATGCAAAAATAAGTCACCGTCTGAACAGCTCCTGCGCCATCGGCCAAAGCTGATGCTAGCGCTGACGCCAAAGGAGTAGACGCTTCTTCAACCATCTGCTGACTGAGTTTTCGGGCCAATTCTACTTGATCATGCGCTTCCTTCTTACTTGATTCATCATCATGTGAGTCCATTTTTTCTGAGTCATCCTTCTGCAAGCAGCTTATTAAAGGAGCAGTTATAGGGTCTGACATCCTGTTCGCAGTCTATGAGGGGGCTTGTCAGGGGGAACGTTCGGCGAGCCGCTAGCTCGTTCTCCACCAAATAGTTACCGTAACCGTACTCCGTTTGACCATCATGCATCAAAAAAGGGCATTGTTCGGGGCATCCCATTATACCTCACCATCTCGGGGAACAATCCTATTAATAGAATCGATGAACCACTTTGGCATCAAATCAAGGCGATAACGTGGTTACAGCACCGCTGTCCCTTCCTCTGCTGTCTTATTGTTAGCGGAGATTGTTTTCTCTGTGTAACTAACCCTGCGTGACTCTGGACGTCTACGCTTTGAGCCCAAGCCTGGATTGGGAGGGAGGGGGGAGTGTGACGGGCACGGCCGAGTGATCCCCTCCACCCAATTCAATAAGGTCATGAGTTCCTTCGCCCTCGTGCTATACTGCTCATTTCACGACGTTTCCCCTTTCCCCGACAAGTTGCTTTCTTCCATTCCAAGTTTTGGTGCCGCTGTCACTTATTAATCAATTTTTTTTCTGATTATGGGGTCTATTTGAAAAAAACGAGAACTCATGATCTAAGGCTAAAACGCAAGAAGACCAGTTCGTTCACAAATTTCTTTAGAGAATACAGTCAAATAAAGGAAGGTCGTGAAGGCGGTCCACAGTCATGCAACTCATTTCGACGCCAACGTGTCGTATCGAGTCAACTAGCTAGTAATATTAGCGCGCGGTGCCTACCTGAGCTCCACACGAAAAAATGTGTGATGGTTATATACTAATCGGTCAACGTACTTCTGAATTGTCAGCACTTAGCGAAAGTGAGTCCAAGCAGTGAGCAAGTTGGTCAGCCACAGCCGCTGCTCCTTTCTAAATCGGCACAATTGTAATGTTTTCACGAAAATTCTTATATCGCACTTAGGCAAAGTTCAGAGTTATTTCACGGATTTAGAGATTGAGAGAATTTCTGAGCAAAAATCTCCATATATCGAATCGCACAGCCAAAACGTCTGCTAAAATGCACGGGGCGGAGTCAACCGAACATCTAAGAGGGCGTACAGACATCGCGATCGCGCGGTTGGATAGCGCGACCACGACCAGGAGCGCTTCACCGCCAAACGGTGCAGCCCGCAGCGGCATAATTCAAGTGGGCCGCGTTCACACAGTGCCAGTTTGAACTGTGCCGTGGCGGCGGTGCATTGCTGGGTGGTGGTTCGCCTCGTCGTGGTCGCGCGATCCAGTCGAGCGGTCGCGGAGTCTGAACCTGGTGTAACCACTTTCCTCGAACTTGGCTTCTTATTAAGCGACTCACTTAGGTCCCATTCAGTGAAATGAAATGAGCTGACTAAGTGTAGCATACCTGCAAAGCTTTTTCGAGATCATCGGTATCCATGCTGATTTTCTTGAGCTTCGGGGGTTCCTCTAGATCGTCCAATAGACCATTCTCACCTACTTCTTGTGGCGTATGAGGGCCCTGAAAAATGACGTTAAGAATCATAAAAACGGGTAAACTAAT